CTTGTTTCTGTCCCCAGTGTATGTATCTCTTTCTCTCTGCCTCTTTCTCACTCTCTCTCTCTCTCTCTCTCACACACACACACACCGAGTTATCTACACTTCATGTTGTCAGACATAGAAAAACGACTTTACTAGAATTATTATTGTGTCATATGAAGTTATAGAACCAGAACAATAACTAAATTAAATGATGAAAGTATAAAAGTGTGTGTAAGTGAATCTTTTTTGTCAATTATGCATGCCAGCACAATTTCTGATCATTCACTGAGGCACAGAGGAACACAAAAAGTATTGGGTAGGTAGGTACAATGGTTGGCTGATATATTGAAATCTTATACTTTGCAGGCCAACTTACAGGAGAATCTGTAAGAAAAAGACCACTGAGGAGTTCCACCCTTGGCCATATCTGGCCACTACCATGAACTGTATATTCTGGATCTTCTATGGCATACCAATTGTCCACCCTGATAGCACTCTTGTGGTAACAATCAATGGCGTTGGGCTTGTCTTGGAGATAATCTATCTCACAATCTTCTTCTACTACACCAACTTTAAGAACAGAGTAAAGTGACTTAAACCCAGCGTGATTAGCCTACTGTTTTTCTAATTTTATTTGTTGTGCTTATTAATTGGAATGTATCTATCAGAGGACTATACTGCTCGTCATTCTCGCGGAGGTTGTGCTGCTTGGTGTCATTGCTGCCATCACTCTCGTCTGCTTTCACACGCACAACGCAAGGTCCATGTTCGTGGGGATTGTCTGCATCGTTTTTGGGAGCCTTATGTACTTTTCCCCTTTATCCATCATGGTAAGTATTCACTCATTTTATTGATATATATCATATGTATGTGTTTATACTAATCAGTTATTGCATTCTTTCGTTTTGGGCTAAATTCGGTTGATTGAACTCTAAACAGTGGACAGTTTGGAAAACAAAAAGTGCCGAGTTCTTGCCGTTTTGGCTCTGCCTTGCCGGTTTCATGAACGGCGTCTGTTGGTTCTCTTATGCCTTCCTCAAGAAATTCGACCCGTATCTCGCTGTAAGTTCATTCTTGTTACTTATTAGTTTCCTTGCATTAATCTACCCCATTTTATTCTGTTTTCTAACAATCATTTTTATCTTTGGTTGGTGTGGTGTAGATTACAAATGGGCTTGGGGGGATCTTTGGTTTATTCCAGATTCTTGTCTATACTTACTACACTTTAAGAGGGAAGAGTTCCAAGAGATCATCAGTAGGAGATGGTGCTAAGACAAGTGATGAGAAAAACTACATGGCACCACCAGTTTGATCTTGTTCCCTTTCCTTTGAGGAAGTTAGACTTCATTTTGCTATGCAATTTACTATTTCCAAGAGATCAGCATATAGTAGTAGTTTACCAATAATCAGTAAATAGAATTGCTTCTCTTTTTTTTTTTTTTTGAACTTGATTAGGTATATGCTGAATTTTGGGACCTATTTTCTTTATGAAAGTTTAATGAAATTGTCTATGAAGTTTCATTTACGTGTTTCAATTTTTCGGTTTACTGTTTCTGTAGTATCTTATACTTAATTAAGTCTGGTCATGATATGTCTGGTATCACGAGATGATGTGTAATATTTCTGGCTAGATCATTAGTAAGTACAAGAAAAATATCTAGTATCTTACTCTAAAAATGGCATCGAAAAATTTTGGTACGAGAGATCTTCGTGGGATTGATTATCACATATTGTGGAATGCTTCAGATTTTCCGCAAGAGCCGTTTCGATGAGCACACATGTATTTCACATTTTCACCCCATTTTCACTTGGCGGTTAACAATTTGTTTTACTTATTATTAAATTGTGTTTATAAGTTATGTTTGGTAACTAAATAAACTACTTTATAACTAATTTGGTTGGCATGTAAGTTTCATGTTTCCAAAAAAAAAAAAAAAACTTCGTTTAGTAAGAAGAGTAACTTTAAAAAGCTCGAATTTATCTCATAAGTTTATGTGGACATCATTTGAAATAAGCTTGTTGAAAATTTTGTTTTATCTAGCTTATCAGCTAATTTTACAAAATATTTTTATTATATAAGCTAGTTTTTCAACTTATAATAATAAAACAAATTATAAATTTGAAAATTACTTATAAGATATCAATTAGTTTACTAAATATAGTCATAATTTTTTTCTTGAAAGATGTTAAGAATTTATATCTTGTGTTCTCTTTTATAAGAAATGGGCAAACTATTTGCCATTATCTCTTGCTTTTTTTTTTTCTTTTTTAAATGAAGATTAATACTGGTTCTCCAATTTCTCTCCCAGTGATTTGAATTCGGGATATGGGATACGCCGAGCGATTCCTCTCCCAGTGACTTGAACTCGGGATATGGAATACGCCGAGCGAGGTATGCGCCACTGCGCTAAACCCTCTTCGTCATCTCTTGCTTTCGTTGTTGATCTAACAACAATTAGTTTTTAATCGGAAAAGAGCAATTCTTCGCCATTATTACTTGAAAGATATTTATCTTGTGCTCTCTTTTTTAAGAAAATGGGCAAACTATTTGCCATTATCTCTCTCGTTATTGATCTAACAACAAATATTTTTAATAGAAAAAGGGCAACTCTTTGCCATTATTACTTGAAATATGTTATGCTTTTATGTCCTGTGTTTTCTTTTGTAAGAAAATGGACAAACTCTTTGCTATCATTTCTTGCTTTCGATTTCGATCTCACACAATTATTTTTATATAGAAAAATGGCAACTCTTTGCCGTTATTACTTAATAATTAGTATTCGACCTGTGCACAGATATATAAATAAGGTATTGTGAGTTATTAGTATGCATATAATAATCAATGATTTTTGCCAAATTTATAATTAAAGGAGCTGAAATATTTTTTTTTTTTAAATTACATTATCTTATTGGATGTAATGTATATTTTGGTATGTATCGTTCTTTGTGAATTATTTATTATTTATTTAGGAATTTCATATACGTTTTTTATTTTTTAAAAGAAGTTAATTTAAATGTAACCACAACATTAACATCTAATCACGTTAAATAGTCAACACATTATATGGTCAGCTGTAAGTAAATCAAAATTTAAAATGATTTTTGTAATTTTGAAGTGATTTAGTGTGTTGATTATCTAATAATTAAATGGGAGGTTCAATAAATAAAAAGTAACGGTTTTTTGAGGGAAAAATTTATATTGCTACATAGGTATAATTTGATAGGTTTTATTAAATGCCATGAGCTAGCAATTATATATATATATATATAGATTTTTTTATTTTTTTTTAATTTTGAAATTTATGATTTATCAGACATCAAGAAAAGGCCCCATTCCATGAAACTCAACCAATTCTGGTAACTAAAACTAGAAGGAATAAAAGGCCCAACACGATTTGCCAGCACTAAACAAAGCCCATTTTCTAAGCCCAAATCAAATAATCTGAATTTTGAAGATCATCTTATCCAGATTGTGAGGTTGACTGAAAGCACCGAGCTTCAATTTCTCCACCCACTTGTGGTTGTGGGTCGGATTTTGGCATTCTTTATTAGATTTTTTCTCTTTCCCCACAGAACCTTATCTGCTCTTCAATCTTTTTTCTCCTATCTATATCTCAGCTAAACAGTAAAAAGTGTGCA